TACCATTGACGTATTGAAATAACTCGAGATAAGAAGCTGATGATACGCTGATAATGTTGGGCACATGATTAAAGGAAAATTCCTGTATACCATAAGCATTCGCAATGTGGTAGCTAGCTGGGCGGAAACAAGTAGCTTAGCTGTCAATCTTAATAAAACTGTATTGATTTTATTTACTAAGGTCTATAAAATCCCGGAGCACTCCTTCCCTCACTGTGACGCTCTCCATGTCATACGGTCGAACAGAACTTGGGTCTCATCCATGATAGAAAACTGTCATGGGGATCAAATGTTGAGAGGGTGAGAACGACATTGGTGGCTTTATATTGTTGTAAATGAGCTATTGGATATTGATGTCGGTTGGCTTAACGAAACTGTAGTTAAGACACAGAACAGAGTTGCTAGAGAAACGGCGCAGTAAGCTTGGTTACGGATGATTCGAATCGAAGGAGAACTCTGTTTCAGATTGCCAAACCTCTGTGCTATATTTCAGTTAGAAATATTAGCTATTAAGGAAGCACTATATGTACTTCTGTGAACTGCGAATTCTTTTAGAGAGGCCTTTAGTCATGACATCACTAACACCAGCATAGTAGTAGAATCCTCGGAAACTGTAAAACCAATGAAATTGCAGGAAAATGCATCCTTATCTAAATCCCATCAGGGGTACTCCCGTCTTCGGGCATTCGAACGTGGGATTTAGGAGCCGAGCAAGAGTTGGTCAGCAGTCAGCTCTTGTGGCGTAACAAAAGTATTCTGACCCGGATTTCTGAGTGCACAACTTGTCATAGTGATAGGAAGGAAGTTGGGGTGGATACATGACCAGCTTGACTCGGCTCTGCCTTGCAAATTTGTGACTATTCTGTATAAATATACACAATATAAATAAATAAAAAGTTAGACCAATTTTTAATGCCTAAAAAATGTATGTACCATCAATACCTATCTCTCACAAATTACTTTTTAATGAATGTGAGCAAATTACTTTTGCTGCAAGATATTTAAATTACATGAAAAACAAATCCTCAAACACAGAGCTTGTCCTAGATTCAACACTCTTTAAATGCGAATATATTAGTTTTTATTAATTGGTTCTACATAGTGAGCTTTTAGCGAACATACGAGCACCTAATTTATGTAAAGCAAAAAAGTGCAAAAAAAAGAACAGAACTGGCACACAAAGCTAAGCGATAAGCGAGCAAATGCATATTTTATGAGTAGTTCGAGGTCAGCCTATCAGTACATTAACAAATTGCAAATAATTTTGTCAAAATACATGCTTTTCCAAACGATGAGCCAACAAAAAAATTAACAAAAATTAACGCTTTGCATACAAAATTAAAATTGTATAAAAAGAAGTAAAGATAACATCGATTAAAATGCTTTAGACTCATTAGCTTCAATATGCTTATTTATGTTATTATATATAACTATATCATTAAAATAAAAATTTTATTCTTTTTAACGTTCTAATTCAAATTTAATTTTTTTTTTACTTTAAATTTTTTTAACAAAAAATTTTTTTTTTTTTTTGTAACAAATTTAATGAGATAAGTTTACTAAAGCCTAACATTCCGACATTGACACACATTGTAGCTGACTACCTTTGTTACATATGTACAAATATACCTATGTATTTAACAAATATTTAATGCTCAAAAAATATATACGAAACATTTTCCACACAATTTGCCACACATTTGCTTGTTCAATAAAATGTCAGAACTCATAATTTCGAGTAGCCTGCAAAGTGCATGCAATTATGCAACAGTTTGTTTGAACATATGCCACAATTGCTGCAACAATGAGCAATTAGTTAGTGCAACGTTGATATTTAAAGCGGCAGCACTTCTGAAGCTAAAACAACAATACAGTAAATATTCAGACAATATAGACAAATGTGTTATTTGCTATCGAAGGTCGTGCTCCGATTCTAGCACGAAAAAATGTAAGCTTATTTATTTGCCGCTGACGTGGGGCAATCGTTACAAGTGATGAAACCCATTCGGTTTGTTTAAACTGATTCATGTCAAGGTATCCGACGGATATTGCTGAAATTTTGTGGAGTATGCAAAGACTGGGATGCGAAATATTGCCAGCAAACAGCTTTGTCCTTAAATCAAAATCCTCTAAATAAAACAAGGAGATTAATAGAAAAAGTAATTTTTAAATGTGTTCTATTAACTTTTTCCTTCAATATAATGCAGATGTTATTGTGTTCTGGCTTTGCATAGTAGAAGCATAACGATTATCTGCAGTTCCTGCCAGTAGTTTTGAGCCTACTATAATAGTATTCGAAATTAATAAATATTGTCGACAAAAATAGTAAGACTTTGTTTTTCCCCGGAGCGGCCAACTTAGCCTTGATTTTTGCTTTGTTGAGGTTTTTTCGACTTCTGCTCAGCTTTGCCACGATATTCGATCAATTGATCGTCTGTTTCTGGATCGTAAGCACAGATCCAAAACTCATCGCAAGTAATAATACGTTTCATGACATGTTGGTAAACGGTAAGCATTGTTTCACAAATTTCTTTTGAATTTTGGCACAGTTATCAGTGGCAGTCATACCAATCACCAAGAAAAAAATCGAGTGGCATATGTTAAAATTACATTCATTTAGCGTGTTCGTGGCCAAAGGCCACAGGGCCTCGAACGAACAACGCCACCGTTTCTTGATTTGTCGGTGTTTTGATTTATCGGTATTTTGACAGTCTGGATTCTAAAAGGGTAGCAAATCTTTGGCAGAACTTTTCTCTCGAAAACTCGCAACGTCAACTCATCAGTTGTTGTCATCGTCCAAGCCTCTTCGTCATATAGTAGGACGGGAATCATGGTCCCAAACCGAGCGCACAACCCTGTAAAGGGTATGTTTCGCCTTTTCACTTTAGCTCGCCTTCAAACGGATGTTCTTAGGCTACCCAGAGGACACTTGGTCAAATACCGGAAGTCGTGAGCTGCTTGAGTCATATGTAAAAGAATCGTTTCTGGCCACTCTCAAGTGAATGGCGATCAGAGAACTTTCCTCAGTTGCGTGAACTTCTACACATGACTTCATGACATCCAGCTGCTATTGCGGGGCGGTTAAAAGCGGACACTTAAGCTGTGTAGGATTCTAATCTAATTCCGCTTTTCATCAAACATATCCTTTTTTATTACAGTCATAGCTTGGTAGATAGTGATAATCCTCAGTTTTTATTTTCACACTTTAACATCATGTTATATATCTAGTAGCATCTTAAATAAAATCAGAGATGATTGGAAGCTTGTTGGACCACCGTTTACTGGAGAAAATATGAATATTCCATAAGGAGATCTTTCTCTTGATTATGAATGGCCAGTTTGTAAAGCATCTATATGCTATAGGAGTCTTACTTGGCCCTGTCATTTTGCATTGACAGATTCCTAGGGAGAAAACGTGGTATGGAAAATTACAGATCGATATCCCGAAAACTGAGGGATTAAGAAAATCAAAAATCATGCTTGTATATATGTATGTATATTTTATGTCTTCGAAAGATTGTCACAAAAAAATGTTCAGTAAAATGTTTGAAAATGTAGGTACAAAATAGTAAGACTTTTTTATTGAAATGCTTTCGGTGATTTTTACGATGAGTGTGATTGCTCAACGTTATGTGTGGAAAGCACGAATTTTTTCGAAAAATAACCATCACGTTGCGAAACAATGCTTTCCAACTACCAGGATGCCATGAAACTACAACTTCAGGATGTCGGTCAAACTGTCCACAAGAAATACATCTGAGTGTTATTCGTCGTTTGAGCGAAGCTTTTCGAAAAAAGGGGCCGAAAATTGAAAATTATAAAAGAAATCGTACTACCTTTTGCTCATAGTAGTATATATACAGTTTGGCTATTTTTGGTAAGTTAGTAATTAAAATAATAAGCCACTTCGATCTAAAGAGGCAGATATTTAGTTTCAAAACGAAGCCGATCGGCATTTAAAATACGGAAACAACATTTTCGGTAGCAGGGAAACCATAACGCCAAACATCCCAAATATAGACCTAAAAACACACACACATCTGCACCAGTAATGCGCTCGGCATCTTTTCGGCCACACACGCTTGGCTCAGCTTACAGCTACTTTATGAGCACGAATAACGCTGTAATCTCGCTTCTTTTACTGAGCTTAATTCGCTTACCTATTGTTAGAGTGCTTTTATTGTTTTGTTAACTTCATTGCGCTGTAGGTAGCGGCGGATTGTGCGAGTTTTCGTTTGTTGCTGTGAAGTGGTTAATGTCACAATTGCGCAATAATGAGTGACTTTAGCGGAGATGTCAAGCCAAGCTATTGTTGTTGGTGTTGTGGTTTGTTGTTTGGAGCTTTTTCTTACTTACCTTACGACTCAAAAGTATGGGTTTTTGCATTTTGCACACGGACACACACAGCGAGCTAAGAAAAATGAGATAGACATATCGATGTACATACATATATACATACATATATATTTATGCTTTATATAATATAAACATGTATATACATATATAATATAAATAACAATTAAGTCGCGAAATTGTGTATTTTGTACTCGCATTTCGCTGGCGTTTTGAGATTTCTTACGGACGGACGTTGCACGCTGGCGACCAAAAGCTGGTGGCGGCAGCATTGCGTGGCGCTCCACGTAAGATTTATACACCTTCAAGCCACCGCTACGTCTGCTCCGTTCGGCTGTGGCTCCGCAATGCAGTTGCTTATGTATATTTTCGCTTGACTTACCGTCATAGCCGTTGGAGCGCCGTTGCCGTCGTTGACGCTGTCGTCGTCGCTGCCTGTGTTGCCGCCGTCGCCTTACTATCAGCCAGCCGCTTAGTCACTCAGTCAATGGTCTCAGCCAAGTTTTTACTCATGCACTTCGTTTGTGTAGGTACATTGTTGTTGCTGTTGCTTTTCCTTAACTTGCACTGCTTAGCGCCATCGACAGCTGCTTTACTTGGCTAGCAAGCGTTTTCAATTTCGTTCAGTTGCTTTTCGGTTCGTGAGGTGATCTGCCGCATACCAAAAAACGTGTCCGTTGCACATTTTCAAAAAGCCGTCTTGGAAAATCACAAGCGTTTCAGGTTTCCTGTTTCCAACTCCATTGTCGAATTCAATCAAAATTCGAAGCAAAAAAGTGAGTCTTCATTGGAGTTGACTGTGGTCTTATACATATTTATATACATACATATGTATTTATAGTCATATTTTGAGTTGAACTATTGTATTTGGTGCGAATTGTGTTGAAAATAGCAAAAGAAAAGACTTTGGAAGGAAAATGAAAGTGATCAAACCTAATGCAAGTGAACATGGACTTTAAAAGGATACTAAAACGGGAGGATAGAAAGTGAAAAGTTATTCAGTTACATTAAAGATTTTATTAGAAAATGTAATTATCACAGCTGTCTTCGGGTAATTTTACTCCTAGTTGTTTAATCTCGTGTTGTTTCTCTTTTTTTAACGTTTTAAATGGGCCTTATGGGAGGAAAGAGTATTGACTACTGAAATACCTGGCTGTGAACAGCCCTAGTAATCTATATAGTATAAAAATCAAACCATATTTGAAAAAAAAAAATGTACTGCTGTGGTCGCTATTAAATTAATATATGTATCAGTCCACATCTCGCAGTGACATGTCAGAGCATCTACCTCGAAATAAAATAGAATGGCTTCTTATAAAAACCAGAACATAAGGCGGTTACATATGTACATATAGATTTATCCTACAATTATTAGGAGAAGTTCGCTAGAATCGTTAAAAAGTTGGTCTGCAGGCTAAGGACTTTCAACGCGATAGCTTTCTCAGAAATTGGGCCGAGAATTATTTATTTCACAACAACAGCAAAAAGGTTTATATTTAAACAAAATATTTACTTCAAACCGCGTAGGAAGACATTAAGGGCCCTAATGGCTCAAGCCACTGGCAAAGTATAGCAGGTGTTCAAGAGAGCAGGGGTGACATTTTACACGTTCTTCAAACTATAATTTTATTTTGTTAAAGTTCTTTTTTTACCTTTCATGAATGTTTTCTCATACAACTTTCCAAATGCGCCGAATTTCTTGGTTTTTAAAATCACAACAAATATGAAGCGAGACTCTATGGTACATAGTACGGAGTAAGGTTTTCAAATTGTTCAATCTTGCAGGTGGGTTTTCAAAGTAAAAGGATGTTCAAATCGATCGCTTGTGAAAAAATAAAAAAATGGTTACTTTTTTGGTGTGAGAGTGTCGAATATACATAAAGATATGATTTGTGAAATGCGGCTCTGCTCTTTTCTTTTCTAATATTTCGATAAGAGCTTCAAAGGGTCCGTTTCTAGATCTAATATCGGTCTCTTTCATGCTCAGTTCATCACTATATAATATGTGAAATGCGTCACATAAGATTTAAATATTCTGCCTGATATTCCGTGTCGGTCATATAAATTGTACGATATTAGTAGGGATATTCTCTAGAATAATTTCTTACAAAATAGTTTTGGAATTGTGCCGGGTAAAATAAGAAGGAGATTTCTATATGAAAAATTTAAATAGCTTATTCTTTTATTAAAATATATGTTATTAAAGCTGGAAAGTTCTTTATTTGTTTAGCATTTGTTTGTTGTTTAATTGGAAATCGAAATTTTCTTCTAATTATGATTAGATTATTCTATCACATACATGGTTAGATCGTTTAGGACACATGAAAAAATCACACAGAGCCAAATCTGGTAAATACGGCGTTGGTCAAGGGTATTTATTGCTGTTTTGGCTTTAAATTTGGTCACAATTGTGGCTCGATGCGATGGTGCATTATCATCATGTAAAATCGATGAACTCTTCTTCCCCAATTTCGGCCGTTTTCTGCGGATGTTCTCCCACAACAGCTCATTAAGGCCAAATGGAACTCCTACGGAACAAACTCATGATTCACCAAACCACGAATATCGAAAAAAGTAATGAGCCTCGCCTTGATTTTTGAGCGGCTTTAGTTTCGGCTCGTTTTTCTCCTAAATTCCGATAATTGTTGACTTATTTGCATGGCAATCTAACAAACCCAAGTCTGGCCATCTGTTACAATGCTCTCCATGAATGTGGGATAGGAATTCGCACGATTAAGCATGTCCAAAGAGACCTCTTTACGGTACTCTTTCTGAAAACATTTCAGCTTTATCGGAACGAGTCGAGCAAGAACGCATTTCGTACTCAAAATATCCACCAAAATCATCCAACCGGGCTCGTGAGAGATTTCTGGCTCTCTTACCATCGCCCTAACACTTGCCTGACGATTTTCAAGCACCATTCACTTTTTTAATATTATCATCAGTTGAAGAGATTGAAGATCATCCCGTCGAGGCATGTCTGCAAAGTCTTTGAAGGCTTTGTACTACTTGTAAACTTGTGTTTTTGATAAAACTGAATCTTCGCAAGTTTTTTCCTACATTCGTAATAATTTTAAATACAGGATTTTACATGCCAAAATAGTTCTAGTAGTGATAGGCTCAATAAAGTAAAGGAGTTTCGGTCTCGAAGCAATAGATAAAAAATTGTTGACTTAGGTCGCGCGGAAATACAAAAAACTCTTTACGATCTGCTTCATTTATTTAAAATTTATTCAAAGATTGCACCGTTGTATTCAACATAATTCATGATGAAGATATCTCATCAAATGGAAAAGTTCGCTATATAGGTACTTGATTCCTATCCTACAGTTCGTATGACAGCTATGACAAAACAGCAGCTTCTTGGACTGGTTCGTATAATATATAATATATAGAGACGGACATGGCTAAATCAACATGGCTCTTTACTCTGATTATTTATATAGTATAAATACTTGATAAAGTCTCTGATATTTAGTATTATGTGTTTAAAAAAATCGTAGTTTGATTATTAGTTATATAATAGGGTCTCTAACATTTCTTTTCGTGTTTAAAAAACTTCGTGGCAAACTTAATACACCCTGTTCAAGTTAGAATGGCAGCTACCGAGGCTGCTTATTTCCAAAGGGTGTTCCATTATGTAAGTCTGGTGTATAGATTTTGCTTCTCGCTAAAGATAAATCAAATTTGTAGATGAGTTTATTTATATTACATAATCATTGTAGTTTTATTGACTAACACCCGTCTATGAAACTGTTTTGGATCACTCCAAAATACTAACAGGACTTTGCTTAAGCGAAACGTATCATTATTAGTGTTTGATATAGATATTTTTTCAGCTTGTTCTGAGTCTAGATTGTTGCATTGTTTGAATTTTCCGAAAATATTTCGATGGACTAAAGTGGAAAGTAATCGGCGTCTGCCTGACAATTACTTAAAACTTATCTAAATATATTTTAGACTCAAAAATAAATTTTAGAGCTTAGAGCTCAATCCGAATAGCCGTAACACCAGTGGGGTTATAAATCGATTACTTCGGTCCGAGGTACCACACTGATGACAAGTATATGTTTTTGAAGCATCTTTCTGGAAAAGAAGATATTTATAAATAAATACGAGAGAATGAGAACCGAAATTGAATGCAAAAAAAATTTGCTTTTTAATTAAGTAATAATGGCAACAATGCGATAAATTAGTTTGTATGACAACAAATTTCTTGCAAATTTAAATTAAAAATGAAGACTTAATGCAACTGCGAAAAAAACTGTCTAATCAGTTGGGAAAGTTTTGCTTCATTTTTTTCACGTGGCGGCGCGCCACAGCGAACACTAATTGCAACAAACAGTTAACAGCTAAGTGAATGCCAATGAAGCTGCACAAAAACAACAACAAACACACATACACATATTGAAAGGGTGCGAAAGTAACGCAATGCCAACAACACATGCCATAAATCTGACACTTTGCTGATGAACCTTTGTGGGGATCAAAAATAACAACAACAATAATATTAATAACTACAACAATAATAATAACTACAACAATGCCAATAACCAACAACTTAAAGCTGGCGCTCACAAGTAGCTGAGGCAGCCAAGTACAAAAGCGGAGCCAAAACCAGCAACAACACTATCCAAACTACAAGTATGTACTTATTTGTAGTTGAAGGTGATACGGCAGCTTGGCTAAACTCAGTACAGCGCAGAAAAAAAAACAGCAAACAACAACAATACAATGAGCAATGCAAGTAATGCGGCAGCGGGAAAAAGTATTGCTGAGATTTTCACTTTCATTTGGTTCAAGTGGCAGCAGTCTATTGCAGATGCTCCTGTTGTTGTTGGCACTAGTTACTGCATTTGTTATTGTTTTCAAAGGTGTTGTTTATTTACACAATTATTTTGTATTTTTTATTTATTTAATTATTTAAATTTTTTTTTGTTTTGTTTTTTTTTTTTTTTTTTTTTGATTTGTAAATTATTTGAATCGTTCAATTTCGATCGCTTACTTTTTTATTCCTGGTATTTAATTGAAAGTTTATTATAACAGTGAATAGCAGAATTATTAGCACAATTAAAGTGAGTACTAACAACGGACCTCTGCTGCAGCTGCGCGGATTTATGCGCAGAAACCAAAAAAAAAAACACAACAAAAGTGAGAGCATTTGCAAAAACAAAGAATGACTTTTAAACTAGTGCGAGTCATTAAAGACACCTTGACTGAGGTGGCATAGAAATTTTCGCGCACAACTCAATGGCAGCCGCCAAAAGCGATGAGAAGATATATTTCTACGATCTGTAGGTTTGCTTAGATATTGGTTTTTCCTTTAGAGTTTATTTTTCAAAGGACCAACCTAAAAAACCTCGATCAAATCCCAAAAACTCCAAGTGAGTAATAAAATAAAAGGAATAAGCTTACAAAATATAACACGAATCAGGCAGTCAATGGTATACTTCTTCTTTATTGGTATAGACGCCTTTAAACTGGTGTTTTTCCGCTATTCAATAGTCTAGGATCGAAAGTCGTGAGCCATACGTAAAAGAAACGTTTCTGGCCACTCCCAAGTGAATGGCGCTCAGAGAGCTTTTCTACAAATAGTTCCATTCTCCAGTCAATAATACACTAAGTAGCCACAGTTTCGTGCTGCAAAAACAAAAATGTGCACTTTAAGCATTCATCCTTATTTTGGACGAAAATTATTTCATCCTACTGATTCTAGACGTAAACCTAGCTTAACACAAGAAAACGTATGTAATTGAGGGCTTATAACCTCAGCATT